TGGCCGTGCGGGCCCCGCAGCTCCCAGGTTGAGCGCCTGCGCCCCGAGTGCGGTCTGGGAAAATCCTAACTAACCACCTGCACTGAAACGGCGTTGGGGGTGTCTTGGGCACGTCTCCCCACTAGACATTTGCGAACAGCTGCTGTGTGCAGACTGTGCCTGGTCCCGGGGCAGAGCGGGGAAGGTGATCTCGAGCCGGAAACTGTTATTGGGGTGTCAGGTGCAAGCCCACAGGCTTGGCCAGAGGGGCAGGATGGCGACATGCCACCTGGGCGGTCGGCGGGCTCCTGCAGAGAATGAGGAGGTGTCCTCAGGCAAGGCCCTGCCGAGAGGACCCGGGTCAGGCCAGGCTGAGGGCGGGGACTCCTCAGCGGTTGATTTATTTTCAGGCGTTTGTGGGCCTGGCCCGACCTCTAGTGGCCACGCAGGTCACTGCACAGCCTGTGTCAGAGAAGGACCTGGCTGCTGGGGCCTTGGCCAGCCCACGCCAATCGCCACTGTGGAGCTTTTGGGTCCAGAGGGTCCCCAGCTCGGGTTCTGTGTGATGCAGGCTGTTGGGGAGCAGCTGTGGTCTCTGCCCGCACACAGGGCAAAGATGCCCGCACACAGGGCCGGTGCCAGCGCTGGGCCCGGCAGTGGGCAGGCCTCCCGGCCGGGCCGCTGGTCTCGGCCAAGGTGGGGCACCGTGAGGTGTGTGCAGGCCGCGGAAGATGTGGTTGACGTTTCCTCGTTTCCTCGGGGATCTCTCTTGACCCTTTCTGGCCTTCTGGAGGACGCCTTTCAGCGCGTACCTGCTGGCCTGTGGGTGAGACGGTCCTCGGCCCGGGGCCCAGACACCAGCTTCTCAGCGGCTCAGGGCGCCAGCTGAGTGGTTTGGGGAGACCGCGGTGTGTGCCGGAGCAACGCGGAGTCTCGCTGCGGGCGGGCGTGTGTGGCCGTGTCTGTGTGAGGTGCCAGGGTCTCCCCACGCAGACGGACAGCGCAGGCCGCTTGGCGAGGGCTCGCAGAGAGGCTTTGTTCTCTGACTGTAGAACTTAGAAACTAACCGCTGACGTGGGAAGCTTGAACAGGAGACGCTGGCGGTGTTCCTTTAACAAGACAGCAGCAGGGCATCTTCTGGGTCTAAGCGGAGGTGGAACTTGGTGGGGTGCGTTTGGGAAGTCAAGGGGTGTGGCTGCTGTACGCTCAGCTTGCAGAGCGCGGCCGGCGCCGGCTTTCACGAAATTAGACTTAAACATGTTCCCATGGAGTAAGGAAAAGCGAACGTAAAATTAGAGGGTAAAGTAAACGAATCAAGTTTTACTGGACAAAACCCCACCAAGGTATAAGTGGATTAGGAAGGAGAAATTGATGTAGCTAAATGCTGGTAAATGTAACCAAATGGGAGTAAAAACCCAATTGGATGAGAAGGTGAGATAAAACCAGCCTCTGAAGGAGATTCTGGTTGCTCAGTTTTCCAGACGACCTTGACCTTGACCTTGAGCTATTCAGTTGGAAACTGAATGAGGTGGGAAGTTTTAACTTGCAGCCGATTTAAGAAGCAACAGAAAAGCTACAAATTGTAATACTCTCGGTAAAAGATTTTTTAAAGTTTTTGTCCACTAATTTCCCTGGGAGGCCCTGGGCCCAAACAGTTTACAGATGAGTTCTTTCAAACTCTTGAAAGAACTGTTTCTTGGAATATAGAACTTTTAAAGAGCACAGATAGTTGTGGAATTCTTCCCACTTCATTTTATGGAAACTGATCTGATACCCCGGGAGGGCCTGGCCGAGACCGGGCAGGGGAAGCAAAGCTGGCCAGTGCGGGCTGCTTCCCAGTGTCCTCAGGAGAACCCCGTGCTGGAAGGCTCAGGTAGCGCAGAAGCCCAAGGAGGCCAAAGACCAGGAGTTGGGATTCTACAGTCCAGTTCATCCAGAGGCCCAGCGAGGGGAATCACGATCCTCTTTCAATAAAGCTAATTAAAAACGCCTCACGCCCGGGAAGGGGACGGGAGGGAGAGCTCGGATGTCGCTGGGAGTAGAATGCTCTCTGCGACGAGGTAAACACTGCCTAGGTGAAACCCACGCACGCGCTGACATCACTAAGCAAAACAAAACACCGAAAACGAAGCTCCGTTCTTCACGTAAGCCAACGCCGTTCTTAAAACTCTTCCTGGAAGACGCCCAGGATCATCGCCGACAGGCCTCTGGGCATCTAGCCAGTGCGCGAGGCACAGAGCCCTGTCAGACGGAAGAGAGGGCTGCGGCAACGAGCTCACAGGCGTGGCCGCAGCCTCGTGCAAGGGAGGTGGCGGGGTGTGCTTCGCCAGCGCACTCCCCTGGCCGTGAGCACGCCCGCGTGGACGCTGCCACGGCTGCTCCCAGGACAGCGGCTTGACGGTCGTGGAAAGGCTTTGTGGTAAAGGGTCATGGCAAAGGTGTGTGCTCCTTTCCTACGTCCCTTCAAAGTCAACTCCTCCAATCAGTGGCGAAAGGGCACGTGTCAATAAACACAAAGCGGGGAGACCCCAGAGACGCTCAGCCTCTCCTCGCCGCCCCAAGACCCCGCGCCCCATCCAGAACTGCCTGCGGACGTGGGCGGAGATGGAAAGTTGGACGCTTAAGCGTGGACGGCTCTTTGAAACGCAGGTCAGGCTGCACTGCGCGTGCGGTCTTCCGTGAATAAACAGTGCAGAAGTGGGGCTCAGGCGACCCCTCGGACCTCAGGGGCAGGTTGCAGAGGCTGGAGACGGGCCGTTTTCTAGGGAAGCAGAGGGACCAGTCAGCGTGTCCAGACTCAGAGTACGAAGAAATGCAAGCAGCGGCCGCGCCCTGAGAAAGCCTTTCAGGTGGACAAGCGGAGAGAAAGAAAAAACCAGAGAAAACCCGGACACCACCGTGTGGCCCAGGCTGGCGAGGCCGCCGGAGGCGTAGCTCCGGGGTCCCTGCTGGCCGCAGTCCAGACTGAGGTTGCAGACGCAGCTCACCCGCCCGTTCTGGGGCTTGGGCCAGGGGCTGCTTTTTTTTTTTAATTGCTCGTTAAAAATCTGCTTTGAAGAGCAGCCGTAAAGAGTCAAAGCGGTAGGTGTCCCAGCGGAAGGAGCCCAGGCACGCTCGCCAGCGAGCGGCAGGGCTGTTTGCGGCGGGAAGCGCGTTCCCAGCTGCGAGCAGGAGCTTCTCTTACTGTTGTAATGAGGAGGGACAGTCCTCACCCGAGGACAGCGCCCACGGCTGCGGCCGCAGGCAGGTGTGAAGGGAGAGCTCGGCCAGCGCTTTCCGAGCAGGGAGCTGCAGGGGGTCAGGCAGCTGGCTGGAGCCCGCCCGCCCCGCGTGGTGCGAGAGGAAGCGGCGGCCGGTGCAGCGCTGCTCAGCGTTTCTTACGCTCTCTGATGCATTTCCTTTGGGGTGTCCACATTTGTTCCTTAACGCGTCTTTTAGGACTGAGAGGAAGTGTGTCCGACGCACAGGTATGTTTCGGAATTCTCCTTAGCAGCCCTGATAAGACTTTGTTTTAAGGATTTATTTATGTTGCACCCAGAACTGGGGTGCAGGCCCGAGGTGCAGGGTGGCGAGAGGACGCCCCAGAGGCAGAGCGGGGAGCGCGGCCGGATCCTCCGAAACCCACCGCTGAGGGGCCGCGGGGAGGCTCGGGGCGGCCACACCGGGTGCCTCAGGCCGCTGTGGCCGGTGTCCAGGCTGCGCTTTCACCTGCTGCGCCACCCGGAGGGCCCCAGTGGGAACTCGCTTTGGACCAAGATCGCAGTTGGATCACTGAGTTTCCGCGGCGCTCCTGCGGCCTTCAGAGTCTGAAGGTGCGCTTCGCCCACACGACGGCGGGCCGGGCCCGGCCAGTGTCTGCCC